TTATTCTGGTTTATCTATTCTTTCTGGGTTCTCTGGTTCAATTCTGGGTCTTTAATAAAGTGAGTCTTTATTTCTTCAATGTCTTCTGTTGAGAGTTTGAGGAGAGTTAAATAATTTCCTTATTATTTAACAGGGTTCAATATAAGGGTGAGGAGTAAGGGTTTTTGTAATATCTCTTATTACTATTCTGAATCTGATATATAAGGGTTGATGAAAGCTAAGTAATATCTCTAATTACTATTCTGTAGCTAGCATGTAAGGGGGTTGATGATTGCTAAATTAGATCTCTACTTATTTCTCTGATGCAGACATGGAAGGAAGGAAGTGAAACATGGGCCAGGAGGGCCTCTATTTATAGATAAAATCTTTGGTGGGAATGGTAAACAGCTTCACTGATGAGAATGCTTGGTCTGACTGGGTAATGACCTCATACCGCTAATTTAATGATGTCATGATGATGTCATGCTATGAAATTAATGATTTACAGCTGTGAATTTAATGATGTGCAGCTGTGGAATTAATGATGTGCTGTTGTGAAATCAATAATCTACTGCTATGTTGGTCAATGATGTCATCTGTGTAATTAATGAACTGTATGTTGTGAAATAATGATGAGTGGCTATGTATTTAATAAAATGGCTGTGTAATTAATTAAATGGCTGTGTAATTAATTATTAATGATCTACTTAATTAATTATTATGATCTGCTGGATGATTTTATGATTGGTTATTATATTATTCTGTTCCCTCCTGAATGGTTTTCAGCTTTATAATTATTATATTATTTCTAATTCCTTCTTGACAAATCTTGATCTTGTTATGTTGTGTTGTTTGAGATAATTTAATAAGATCTGTTTTGTAATTATATATATATACTTTTTAATCTTCCTTGTATGTTTTATTCCTTTAGTCTGTGAAGTGTAATTATATATGAAATAAATTATCAAGAAAAAATGACTATGATTTGAGAATAAAAGGCTTTAGCATGACTATTTGATATTATTACCT